TGAAGGAATCATGCTATATTTCTAAGTTTCTTTTTAAAGACTCCAGTACCTAATCATCTACATGCAAATCTCTAAATGGGTCATACTTGTGACTCTCAACTTGGGCTTTGATATCTACGTGGTTGATTTAACTTCTGACTCAGTCCTTTTTTGGGCCAAAGTCATTGTTTACAAATAATTTCATTTCTTGTAGAACCTATGGTTGCTACCAACTCTAAGAGTAAATGATAGGAAGTAAAAACCTCCAAGTATGTAAAGCCAGGAAGGAAAGGGAAAAGAAAGAATGCTAAATCAATCTGACTGGGAGGAACAGATCTCTTTCTCTTAAGTGTTTTTACAGATACACAGTTTCGGGTATTCACTTTCAGGCTAAGGGCATGTCAGCAAGGCTTCCCTGCACTGTGCCTGGGCTTTTGACCCAAAACCCTGGATTTTACTAAGATCATGAGAATCAAAGACTTTTAGCTCAACCACTTACTTAGCTAGTGAGGAAACTGATAACTAGAATTTTTTTTTTTTTTTTTTTTTTTGAGTTGGAGTCTCACTCGGTCGCCCAGACTGGAGTGCAGTGGCCGCTCCCGGCCACCGCAGCCTCGACCTGCTGGGCTCCGGCGATCCTTCCGCCTCAGCCTTCCGAGTAGCCGGAATTACAGGCATGCGCTACCACGCCCGGCTGATTGTTTGATTTATTGTAGAGATGAGGTCTCGCTGCCCAGGCGGGTCTCGAACCCGCGGGCTCAGGCAATCCACTCACCTCAGCCTCCCAAAGGCGCAGGATTACAGGCTGAGCCACCGAGCCCGGCTTGATAACTAGAATTTAAAGGACTTACCCAAGGACATACAGCCTGTTTAACATTAGTGATGTAACTTAGTCTTGAACATTGAGTGCTCAGTCACTATCTTAGCAAAAATGCTATTGTGCTTGAGCAGAAAAGGCAGAAAAGGGAATCTATTCACTGAAGGACACATGAGGCTCTCATCAATGGCAAATCTATGTTAGTAACACTGGGGATGGTGATTCAAGGCATTACTATTTTTCTGTCTGTATGCAGAGTTCCAGTGTGCATGCATTGCCCTTGTCCAGGCACAGGCATGCAATTCAATATATTCAAAAGTGCATCAACATGTTTTAAAATGAGAGTCTCAAATCCCCAAATAAAAACCAGGCTCAATTTCGTATTAGGCAAAGTAAGTTACACTATGCACATCAACCCTGTGGTAATTCAATTAAACAATGCACAGAAATTCACCAAACGTTTACTGGTTGGTTTTTTAGCTCAATTTGTTGTTCCTTTTCTGGCTTCTCCTCTTTTCATTTCTCCATTCATTTATATAAAAAAAGAAATCCCTATAAGGTACATTTTGCTTTCTAATCAATACACTTTTCTTGCAAAATAAAAACTTTTATAAAACTAAAGGAAGGCACTTTGTAAAATATGTACAAATCTGTTTCTTTCTTGCCTACTCTAAGGAGATAGGGGAGCTGCTAGAGGCAGGGTCAAGTCTTTCTACAAGTAGTGGGCAGCGGCAGGCAGTTCAAGAGATAGCCAGATTTCCTCTGGAGCCAAACTTCTTTCTGAAACTCAGGCACCTCTGGCTGTTCCTTAACTCATAGGATTCTCCAGTTCAGTTGAGTCACCATAGGACAAGGATTCAAACTGCCTGGATCTTGTACAGGCAGTAAGAGATTGATCCCTTCAGACCAAGCCAATTAAAGTGAGACTTTTGTACATAACTTACTTCCAGGATTGGTCTTAGGCACTTAGGGAAATGTAGAGTCCATTAAATATCTACTAAATGTAGGATCTGTTAAGTATCTGACACGGTTGATACTAACCTGTGCTTATATACATTTGTTAAAACTGACCAGAGAATATTTTGCTGTTTGGGTCATCAGTTTCCATAAATCACCTGTTGACTAGATCCCATTTCCACGTACTTTAAAACTTGAGTATTTAGGCATTTGTTCACAAAAATAACAACCTTTTTATAACTCAGAGCACATGACTTCTTAAGACAGCTGTCCAATGGTTGTTTATAATCTATGATGAGAGGAGAAAAGCCATGAGCCAGATATAAGAAAAGAGATTTGGGCTGTTGGATACTGCAAAGAACGAGCACGGCTTGATTCAGTAAAAGATCCTTTTTCTAAGGATTAGTGCCTCTTTCAATATATCCCTAATCTATCTCATGTCTCTTCTACTTTCTACACATATATTTGTACATAATCTTAGAATATGATTCTGAACCTGCATAACTTATAAAATAACATGTATTAAGACCAATTGAAATTATGCTTTTAAAAGTGAAGTATAATGAATAAATCACTGAAAATTACTTTGCATTTCTATAACAAAAAGCCATCTTTGTTAACTTAATAAGATAGAAAGCATTGATTCAAATTGTCTTTGTAGACAAATATTCCATGAGTCATTGAATCAAGGAATCAGAATTTGAAAGAACATTAGAGATAATTTTGTCTTAACACTTTCAATGGAAACTGTAGCTCAAAGAAGGTAATTAGTCCCTCTGAGGCAAAACACTTAGGACTAGAACAGGTCTCTTGACCCACAGTATGTATCCTCCCATTTGAATAACTGTCTCCACGATAGACTATATGTTAGGCCACAAAAAACCTTAATTAAAATAAAGAATGCTAATTGACCATAGAATTAAAGTCTTGACTTTGCTTAATGAGTGGCTAACTGGTGTTTTTTAGGGATTTAGTTAAAGTCTTTAGCTATAACTTTTTTTATATGTACAAAATTATATGTCAAAAGCAAATTATTTTCATGTTTTCAAGGTATGAGTGTTTGATACGTATATCTTTTTTTTTTTTTTTGAGTCAGAGTCTCACTCTGTTGCCCAGGCTGGAGGGCAGTGACATGCTTACAGCCACCGTAGCCTTGACCTGTTGGGTTCAGGCGATCCTTTGCCTCAGCCTTCCAAGTAGCTAGAACTACAGGTGCGCACTACCATGCCCAGCTTAATTTTTGATTTATTGTAGAGACGAGGTCTCACCAAGTTGCTCAGGCTGGTCTTGAACCCTTGAGCTCAGGCAATCCTCTTGTCTTGGCCTCTCAAAGTGCTGGGATTACAGGTTTGAGCCACCATGCCCGGTCCGATACATATATCTTAGAGAAGAGTGGACTATATGAGGAAAGGTTTAGTCTGTATTGGCTTTGAGGGTCGCTGTCTTTGGCCAATGCCTCTCAACATGGACTATATTCTCTTGCTCTCTTGGAAGGTGTGTGTACTTTGCAGTTCATTCCCTTATGTGAATTCACATAAGTTTCAGCATCATGTAAATCTTAAACCACTAATAGTTTTTTTTTTTTTTTTTTTTTGGCCTTCTTATATGTGGTGTTTTTAATTGCAAGGTAAATAGATTTGATCTGTCCTTTTCCAAGAGAAGATTGTTTCCATGCACTGAAATAACCTTTAGTGGAAATGGTCATCTAGGGCAGTGCTTCTCCGACTTTAATGTGCACGTGAATCAACTGGGGATCTTAGTAAAATGCAGATTCTGATTCTTTAGTTCTGAAGTGAAGCCTGAGATTCTACAGACAGAATTTCCAAACAGTGCCCAGTAGATGCCTACACAGTTGGTTCTCAGATACTTTAAGTATCGAGGATTGAAGAGATTGAATGTGATTGGACAACTTTCCCATATGCTTCCCTCACACACAAGATGTGGTTTATATATTGGAAAAATAGAGCTTCATATCTATTACTTTTGCAATTCTGGAAACACTGGAAATATGTTCACTTTCAAATATCAGCAGAATCTCTGAGTCCAGTTCCTATCAATATGGATTTGTTGGGGTAGAATATTTAACTCACGAAGTGAGCTCAAGTTCTTATGTCCTGCTAGTAAATGGACACAGAGAGAAGATTAACCATGAGGTGAAATAAAAAATAGAGGGAGGCAGTTAGATGAGTCATGGATGCTCCCTTTAAAGTAGAGATCCAAACTCTGACCTCTCTCAGAGTGCCTGGCCTTGGAACTGACTTGGAGATTCTCGCTGCCATACCCTGATCTTTGGAACTGTTCCCATTGCCTACAGATGCCTGGTTTCCTAGAACTTTTATTTGGACACTTCTGATGTGAGCAGTCTCTGCCAAGATTTTGCAAATGGATCTACTTCAGAGAGCTACTAACTCTTGGTTTTGCTTAAAATTTTTTTTGCTGCTCCAGATTGATCAGAAAAACAAACAAAACCTATCTATCTGAAACAGCATATTAGACATCATCACTCTCCTTTTTCATTATAGATTTATGAAGATTCTTCCATAGATGGGCAGAAGACCCAGAGTAGCCCTAAATTCATAGGAGAAATAATTTACTGTTGGTAGATAATCCTAAAACTCTATGTTGTTGTTGTTTAAAGTATCCTGGAGATAAAAAGAATCAGGTAAACTACACCACATTGTGTTGGAAATTGAATTTTGCCATCCACTTCATATTCCTTGGTGGGCTTTGGCTTGGTATGGCATTTTACTTTACAAACCGCATATACTACTAAGTACTGCAAATACTCATTATAACCTTGTAGCAGAAAATACTGTACCCACTGAATACGTAAACAGCTGTACTGGGAAGATAGAAAATAGTCTTTTATTTCACTTAAGTGATAGAAAAATAGTCTTCAAAAATACATTGTTAAACTTACGGGTTTGTATTAAAGTATACTTTGTATGTACAGTAAGGCAGTATTTCTGTCAGCATCCTGCAGTGATTATCTTTTAAATTAAAATTAGTCTTTTGGGATTTTTTTCCACTAAGAAAATACTAGGGTGTATAATAAATTATCTATCATGTTGAAATGAAGCAGGAAAACAATCTAAAGGATTCACCACATGATATTCATTTGCCTCTTGTGTAAGAAAATTTTAATTTCTAAAACTATATTCTCTGAATATAGAATGATAAAATTTAGGGGGAGAAATCCATGCTTAACATATTCAGACTATTTTAAGAAAAAGTTGGAGGCATCATATTACTTGCGTCTCAACAACGTGTTAGTAAGGTATAGGGACTGATGTAAACAATTTGTTAAGTGTTCTGGAATGCATTCTTTCTTTAAATGTGTTATATTTGAGTCCTCCTAATAAAATGAAAGAGGAGTGTAAAGGTTAAGCGGTTGGTTTTCGAAAGCGGTTTTCATGGCATTTTTCTACATATCTTTCATCTTCCTGTAGTAAACAATTTTGACAACTTCATTTCCATCAGCCCCGTACCAAACCATGAAAGCCTTTTCTAGAGGATATACCGGTTGGCACTGTCCCTCAAGAATACTAAGCAATGTGCTTTTATTTCATTGAACACATAATTTTATAACTAGTAGCAAAAAGTAAATCTATAAATCACAGTTAGGAAACAGAATGATTTGTTCTGGAATCAGAGACAGGTAGTTGAAAATGGAGCATGAAAAGGAGCGAATCTGTGAACTTTAGTAGTGTCAGTCTGACTACATTCTTGAGCATTCTCTAGTAGATTGCATTTCATGTACTCTGTAGTGTTACCTGAAGAAAAATCACATTTTAACCAATCATTCCTTTAGTCAAGCTATCAATGAAAGGAGTGCATAAAACATGCAGGATCCAGGTAATCCAACCCACCCAGTTGGAGCCTGCAGTTGCTGGGAGTCGCAGCGAAGGCCAGGTCTTTCTCAGCTTGATTCCGTTCAAGTGACAGCAGCGCCTCTTTGGCAGATTCTTCAAGCAGAGTCATGTTTCCAGCATGTGGATCTTGTACCAACACCAGCATATTGTTATCCGTAACTCTGGACACCTTTGCATACTCCTTACTGGTTTCAGGAATCCCAGTCTTCTCTGTCTGGTCACTATTCTCTTTCTGTTTCAGTAGCAATGACAGGGCTCCATCTTTGTTGACCTTGTGAATCTCCACGTAATCCATGGGCTTAGTGGAGACAAATGGGGGTTTCCTCTGGGGCAGCAGCCATGCCCTGTCTTGGTCAGTCTTGGAATGGAAGTTTTCTACCTCCTTCTGCATGGCTGCCTTTTCTTCCCCTTCAGCCTTAATGGTTTTAGAGGATTTTGAAACATCTTTGCTTGCTCTGTCCAACAAAGTGGCTGGTGAACCTGCAGGGCCCACAGCCAACTTACGCATATCAGCAATGTTGTGGTAAAAGGACATGGGATTGTGCTGGTTGGGCAGCGGTAAAGGCCATGTTGAAGATTTGGATCCATCAGCATGAAAGTAGGGGATGCTGCCTTCCACACTTATGCTCTGAGGGTCCCAGGTGTGGGTCATCTTTGTTTTGGGATGCTCTGGCTTTTCAATGACCTCAGGGGCACGGACTGTGGAGTCATTGGCCTGGAACTCCTCACACTTTTCAGATAAAAGGGAAGGGCTGTCACAGCTTCCCCTGCCAGAGTCATTGTCAGATTCCAGGTGTGTGGGTTTCATACCATGAACTGGGTATTCTTTTGAACGGGCTGGCATTAGCTGCCGGTCCTCACTGTCATCCACTTCTAAAAACTCCACCAGCAAGTCCTCACAGTCAGAAGTGGGAGGAAAATCTTGGCATCCCAAGGCACTGAGTAGTTCTTCAGACTTGCCCTTCTATTAGAACACAGATAAGAGGAGAGACGGCTGTTAGCTTTCTAACATGTCAAATCAGCATCACAGCTGACTGGTGTCTGTTCATTACCATGAGCAGGTGGGATGTGGTAAAAGCCTCACAGAATCTCCCAAATTTCAGAGATTTGTGTGCTAGGCCATCTATAATCATCTTCTGGACACTATTCATCAAATATTTTTAAGTCAACTCATGAATTTAATTTAATCTATCGCTAAGCAATAACGATCATGAGTTAATGGGTAAGTAGTACATACACACATAATGAACATAACACTATTAAATGAAAGAGTTTTCTGACACATCTAAACTCACAATGCTCATGCATGCGTCTGACAATTTTGGACTCGCTGGCAGAGTCTGAGGTGTGGTTGCTGGCCTTCTCACCTCCTCCGGTTTCCAGAGTCTGGTGATGGTGAGTGGACTCTCATCTCTTCCTTCTCCTGTTGTTCCGCTTCCTTCTCTCCCTCCTCCTCTTTCTACATCTTTCCCCTTCCTTTCTCCTTCCTTTTCCTATCCTTTTTTACTTTTTCTTCTACTGCATTTCCTCTCCCTCTTTCTCTTCTCCTCTTTCTTCTCGTTCTTCCATATTTTCTCCCGTACCTTCATCCTTCTCTTCCTCTCTATCCTTCTTCCTCCCATGGATTCCAATTACTTTCCCCTCTTCTTCCAAGTCTTGGCTTTATACTTATTGTAGAGTGTAAGACTCTGGATAAGCTGCTTTCTAAGTCTCAGCTTCTTCATTTCTAAAGTGGGGATAATACTATCCATCTGGGAAGGGTCTTTTGATAGAAAGAAAATGTAATTAAGAATATTAATGTTTTCAACCCCCAAAGTAGCTATTTTTTCATGAAGTTTCTGTGGCTAGAAGGTTGAATTACGAACTAGATAATAGTTAATGGTGGTTCTATAAGGTCAATGCTAGAATTAGCAGTGGAGGAAGAGCACTGGGTCAGGAGCCCAAACTCCTGGGCTCTAGTTCCTGCTCCAGAATTTGTAACCAAAGTGAACATGGGCAAGCCAGCTCCTCTGGGACTCATTCTCACGTTCTTGCACTGTCAGACTCTTGGCAGCCAGGTCAAGTGGTATTTGCGTTTATGTACAGGTAATTAATTGCTTTTATATACATCAGTGTTAAGCTTAAAAGTCAAATTAAAACTATGTATTTCAACCTGGAGAGAAATTAAATAGGTCTAATCCCTCTTTTCATTCGAAGCAATTACATTTAATTCCCTCTTGACTCAGCCTAAATCGACCCTGGCAAACAGCAGGCCACACTGTACTGATGCACTCTCAACTGAATACTCAACTGTTGAGCAATAGTTGCATAGAATATTCTGTTACTATGACTTTATGTAAAAAACATTCAAATGGAAGCTTTTCCCAATGTAGGATGAGACGGGGTGATGGGTCCCTGTTTCATATTAATATATTCATCTTCTTTCTAAACTGATTGTATAAAATGTGTGTCGCTGTGCTTATGAGTGAACTTGATAAATTTAGCAAGCATTGCTATGTGTTTTAAGGTTTTCATGGCTTTCCCTTCTTGCCCTCTGAGATTTAACATTGAAAAGTATCCTCATCCCTCATACACCTTTCTGTTCACACACATGCTGTTGAAGAGAGATAGCCTGGGAAGGCTGACTGAGATGAATTGATGGGGACTGTGTGTGGATGTGTAGAGTTAATTATTACAAAGCAATGAGTCACACTATATCGTCTGTCTCCAGCACTTACCTCCAGGAGATGAGTATCAAATCCTTTTATTTTTGGCCCAGGAACTGGTGGAAAGACGCAGGTCATCAGGCTACAAAATAATTTATGAAATTGACTGAATGACTCATTTTTGAAACATTAGTAATATTTCTAAATAGCTGCTACATGTACTATGGTAGATAGAAATTAGAGGACTGGGCTACATGAAACTAACAATTAATGATGAAGATAGTTAATCATTACAGAGTCCTACATTAAAATTAGCTTTAGCTAATTTTGGAGATTGATTTTGAAGTTAGTAGATTATTTGGACTATTTGTTTCTTTTGATTTTAACCACTCTTGCAAGATTTTTTACCATTTCACCACTGTGGACCTCTGTTTGATGGAAGGACCATCAGCCTCAAATGAGTCAATTTTTCTACTTTTTCTAGCAGTGATGAAAGGTTCTTTTTTTTTTTTTTTGAGTTGGAATCTCACTCTGTCACCCAGACTGGAGTGCAGTGGCCGCTCCCGGCCACCGCAGCCTTGACCCACTGGGCTCCGGCGATCCTTCCGCCTCAGCCGTCCAAGTAGCCGGAATTACAGGCATGCGCTATCACGCCCGGCTGATTTTTTGATTTATTGTAGAGATGAGGTCTCACTGCCCAGGCGGGTCTCGAACCCGCGGGTTCAGGCAATCCACTCACCTCAGCCTCCCAAAGGCACGGGATTACAGGCTGAGCCACCGAGCCCGGCAAAAGGTTCTTTTAATGGGCAAATACACTGTAACTAATGGTTAAAATGAGGTGCTTAGATGATCTGTTTTCCATCATTTTTGTATTATCTTTTCTGCCATTATCCCTGATAACCATGATTGGGAGGAGGGTTGAGAGACAGTGAAGTACCTATAGCCCTTCAAAGCCACTGCCCAGACTGCGATCAAACAGATGACAGCAGAAAGAACAGCCACAAAGATCCACACGGTTATATCTTTCGTGGCGAAATCTAAAAAACAAACAGCCAGAAAGCTTTGATCACACACAGCGTCATTAAAAACAAACTAACAAACCTAATGAATGAAAATTTTAAACCTGAGTTTCCTCCCATCTGTATCTTTTTTGATTTGAGCAGCAATCCTCAAAAAAATAGCATCAATGACAGGTTTAATTTTTTCTAATATTATTAATATTTTAGCATGTTGCATATATTTTGTAGTACTCTACAAGGTTCAAAATCTATTTACATATTCTTTTATTTTATCCTTAAAGAGGAAATCCAAGGTCACATGATCAGTGCAGTAATAATAGCTAACATTTATTAAGTTCTTATTAAAAACCATCAATGGCATTAAGCTCTTTGCCTACATTACTTTGCTACAGAGATCAGAAAATTGACTCAGAATGATTTACCCATGTCCCATAACTATAAAGTTGCAGTGTGGGTTCAAATGAACCTAGACTTCCTGCTTCTGGACCCTATGCTTTTATTTAGTAAGATCTAGGACTGGACTGATACACAACCCTTTCCACTATTGCAAAGTCAGTGAAAGCCCTGATACTTTGTTCAGGCAAATTATTAGAAGAGCTAGACTTTGCTGTGTGGTTCTGGGAAAAATCGTTAACCTCTCTGAGCTTCAGTTTTTTTTTACTTTTAATTGCTAATGTTAATTACATACTCTCTGAATACGGAAGGCTGGGAGAACCAAACAAGATAAAGTCTTTATAAACTGTATTTTTAGAAATGCAAGCTGTATCATTCCCTTTTACAATACACACCACCATATTAAGGCAGTTTGTTAGAACTGAGTGCCTCCTATACATTTACTTGACTAAGAGATTAATGTATAATCAGTTCATGCCTTTGAGATGGGATAATTTCTTATAAATTCTGTGAGAGCTAGATGATAGCCTTGACTGAACCCTCTCAGTGACAGGGATGGAGCTGATGGTGAGGGCAGAATGACTGACCATTATGACTCTGGAGGCATGCTGGGTCCATGTCTGCAGCCTTATCCTTAAATATACTCTTTACTGACAGTAATCCAGGGAGCAGTGCTACTCTTTGAAATGTCTTTGTATTGGGTATTGGGTAGAGAGATTAGAAACCCATCTCTACTATTTGTATGGTTAAGACTCAAAATAATTTCTCTGTTATTAACTATTATTTGCAAATTTACCATTTAAAAAATATTTAGGAATATAAGCAAGAGGAAGTCAAGTCACTCACCACCCGGTACCTGAATGGAGCTTTCTGAGCTCCACTTACTCCAGAACCCATGGTCTGGTTTGCAGCGAACCTGGACAAGGTATTTCTGTCCTGGATGTAGGCTGAGAATCTTAAACTGTGTTTGCTGCCCAGCAAAATGGATCTGAGGATGAATAAGGAAAACAGAAGTCAGTGAGTTCTGACTTCTGCTAGAAGAAAGAGCATTTTCTCCTAAATAATAAACCATGGGAGGAGTTAGGCTGGACACTCCTACCTAGAAGTTTCTCTGTGTTCCCCTTTCTACCCTCTCAGCCCTATCCCTTTTGCTCACACAAAAACTTAACAGTATTTTTTCTCTATTTGGAACTCTATTTCAGAAAGACAAATAGTCTGCCCGCACTTTATGAAAAACAAGTTAATAAATGTAAAAGGGATAACAAAATTGAAAAATTGTTAGCTTTTAAACTCTAATGAAACAATGGATTCAAGGTTTATTAATTGGCATTAAAGCCACGGGACATTCACGCACGTTAAAGTAATGGCATACAAATTAAATATGACTTTACAATTAAGGGATCAAGTTGTCATCTCCCCATCCCCAGTTTTAGCATCATTTATGGTGGGTCAACCAGATGGTTTGTGTCTTCTGATGAGATGCAAAATGAGGTACATAATATTACTTTTGAAGTATTCTTGCCAAAATTGTTAAACATACTTTAAATGAAGTTTTTAGCTCTAATGTCTGGTTACAGGAAACATGGGGCAGAAAACTTAGCTACATGATCCAACAAATAACTAATCAGACAAATGACAAAAGTGGGACATTCTATGGGACAGTGGCCCAGTCTCTTCAGTGCATTGAAACTGGAGGGATATAACAAGCAGATACCATGTGTGGTTCTGGGATGGATTCTGGTTTGGACAAACAAGCTGTTAAAGATTAGTAGAGCAATTATGGACTGGTTATTAGATGCTGTTAAGAAATTTTAATTAATTTTCCTATGTGTGGTCCTATTATTTTGACTATACTTGGAAATGCTCTTTTTAAAAAAGAGGCATATGGTAAAGTGTATAAAAGTAAAATACCATCATGCCTGCAATTTACTGTATTATATCTTTATGCTGAAATATTTTTAAGTGGATAAAAACATAGCCATTGACCATGGACAGGTTACACTGAAATTCACCCCACTCCTATGTGCTCTTCTTCATGTCTAGATCTAAGATACACTGAAGGAAGTGGTTGGGAACCTGGTCAAGAGTCTATGCAGGGTAAGGAACTAGCCCCCCGTGGGAGGTGGGGGACTGTGAAGATAAGCCCTAATCAATCCCAATAGAGGGGAGAAGGGCTTTCCACATCTGAATGGGACACATCTGCGTTGGGAGGCCAACATGGTGGCCCAATACTTAGGAGAAATGACCTGCTGTGAGTTATGAGGACTTCTTCCTTGCCAAAAAGCTTATAGATGACTCACCTCCCAATCAGCTGCATTCTCGGGTTTTAATCGAACTTCGTACTGAAGCGTGAGCCAACCAGATCTTACATCAACCAGGGTGGGCGGAAACCATTTCATCCACAGATACAGTTTTTTGTCTTCTGGCTGTTTTACTTCTAAAGTTAGGTTCACAGGAGGGTCCGGTTCAACTGCAAATATATAGGAAACTCCAGTAGCATTCATTGCTGCATCTTTTTATTTTATTTTTTTGTATTTTCAAAAGGACAGTTCAGCCCCAAATTTGTTTATTTATTTTTAAATGTTTTATTCTAAATATGTGGTACAATTCAGGGTTAGGTATACAAATGTTCATTATGCAGGTGCCCTTGTTGATGAGGTGTGCCCCTCCCCCCAGTTTCCCACTACTGCCAATCCCTTTCTTACAGTATTACGATAGTTGTTCAAGGTTCACTTATGAGTGAGAACATGTGATACTTGGTTCTTCGTCTCTGCAATAGATCACTCAGTATTATCATTGCTGCATCTTTTATTTGGCTTTACCATTTTCTGCCATGAATTGCATTTTCTGTTTATCAGCTCACTCTCCCAACTGTACTATATTGCTGCTGGAAGACAAGGTTCTCTTTTCTTTTACCTTTTAGTATGTGACAAATCACATTTGTTTTTGAAGATTAGGTTTGGATGGTAAGAATAATAAGCAGCTGAGATTTTATTCTTTGCATGTTGTCCACTTTCCATCAGCCAGGGTTACATAGCTACCCCAATAATTTTTGTGATGAGAGAGATCAGGTGATACAAATTGGGCTGGGATTTGCAAGTGGGTGTTAGGGTGGTAATTATTGGGAAAAGATTTCAAATAGTTTATTTCCCTCAGCTGGGAATGAGATTCTCCTTGGGGACACATAGGTTTTGTAAATTATCTATTCATAATTATAACTTTGTAGATAACAGGTTTACAGATTCCATCTTTGCTTCAGCAATTACATTTTACATTCCATATACATATTATACTCTGTGGTTAATGGAAGCCATTCTCCCAGATATTAAATTATTGAGATGTGCATATAGGTTGAGCTTTCTGGCAATGATCCTTTCAGTGACCTCATAATGGCCTGTTGACCCATTAACTCACTCAACAAATGTTTGGTGAATTCTCACTAGCAAAATGATAACTAACTTTTCTTGAGTGCTTACTACATGCCAGGAATTATATAAAATCCTGTCCCTGCATCTTTTCATTTTATATTGCCAACAATTCCATGAAATACCATTACTCTACCCACTAATTTTACAGAGGGGGAAACAGGCTCACAGGAGGGAAAATTATTTACCCAAGGGCACATATTTGGTTCACATGGTACTTCAACCCAGAACTATATGGCTTCGAGGTATTTATCTCTACCATTTCACTCCACCATGGTTATAAGACATTGCATTTTGTGGGCAGGGCTGGGATTAGGTTGAGGCAAATGAAGTGTATAGGGTGCAGATATATATTTTTTTCTGGTTGATGTTGTCTATTCAACTTTCCAAAAAACTGCAATACTAAATAATACATAGTGTAGAAACCCTTACATTTGTTTTTTGGTCAAATTACTTTGAAAATAAATCACATTGATTTTTAAAAACTCAAGACTTTGGTATTTTTAGGAGGAAACTATTGGGGATGAAATCAGAGAAAAACAGAGAGAGTATCCATGTTACTAGCAATATCCTACTTTTCAGTTTAGAGACTGAGTACCTGACCTGCTGGGCTCCGGCGATCCTTCCGCCTCAGCCTTCCGAGCAGCCGGAATTACAGGCATGCACTACCACGCCCGGCTGATTTTTTGGTTTATTGTAGAGATGAGGTCTCGCTGCCCAGGCGGGTCTCGAACCCGCGGGCTCAGGCCATCCACTCACCTCAGCCTCCCAAAGGCGCGGGATTACAGGCTGAGCCACCCAGCCCGGCTTCTTTTCCTTTTAATAACTGATTTTCATTTATCAGTTCTTTAATCAACAAATACTTATTTTTATTTTGCAAACTTTACATATATATTAAATCACTTCTTTGTATCTATGATATATTTCTCAATAAGAAGAGTTTTTTTCTAAAAATTATTATTTTTATTTTAAAGATTGGGGTACAATTCAGCATTAGAGGGTGCAAAATTTAAGGAGAGACAAATGGCCAAGAAGCACATCAAAAGATGCTCAGTATCATTAGTCTTCCAGGACATGTAAATCAAAACCACAGTGAGATACCGTTTTACATCTACCAGCATGGCTAGAATTCAAAAAATAAAAAATGACAAGTATTGATGAGGATATGGAGAAGTTGGAACCCTCGTGTATTGCTAGCAGGAATGTCAGCCCACGTAGCCACTGTGAAAAACAGTCTGGAAGTTCCTCAAAAAGTTAAACATAGACTGTATTGTCCATCCATTCTGTACCTAGGCATATACTCGAAGGAATGGAAAACAGATATTCAGGAAAAAAACTTGCACATGAATGTCCCTAACAGAACTACTCACACAGCCAAAACATGAAAAAAACAAACCCTAAATGTTTATCAACTGATAAATGAATGGATAGATAAATGTGGTATCGTCACTTATTGTGTGAGTCCACATAGAATCAATGAATACCCCACCTAGGCAAGTCCCTAGGGATGGAACTCAGATCAGTGGTTGCCAGGGACTGAGGGAGGGAGAAATGAAGAGGATCCTCTTAGTAGTGAGTATGAAGTTTTCATTTAGGGAGATAAACATGTTCTGGAACTAGACAGTGGTGATGGATGCATAACACTATGAATAAACTGATGCCATTCAACTGCATACTTTAAAGTAGTTAAACTCATGAATTGTATGTGTGTTTTGTGTATTTTAGCACAATTAAAACAAATGAAAGAGGCACTTACTCTCAGATTCTTGTAGTTACAAGCCCTGTGAGTATCTCCCTAAGATGAGGGGTCTGGGGCGCTGGCTTGCCTCGCCCTAGTCTTGGTCCTGCTGGTCAATGACATTTGCTCCATTCACTTATTATCTTCTGAAGTCAGTCTCTATACCAGACAGGGAAAGGGTGAGTGTAACTAGTTGGCATTATGACCTACATTTGTCTAAAAAATGAACTTTAGAAAATTTGCTGCTAATCCTAATATTTATATGTTACTGAGTGAATAGGAAAGATTATTTTGAACATGTGGGCTAAACAAACATCAGTTAATGACTACACATTTTAAGTTCTGTATACATTGAGCAATGCCTCTGATAAAAAAATATTTTGTACAAAAACACAAGTAAAATGTTTGGGATGAATCCGTTAGAGCAAACTTTCTCAATCTTGGCACTACTTGTATTTTGGACCACATAATTATTTTTTGTAGAGGGCTGCCCAGTGTACTGAAGGATGCTTAGGAGGATCTCTGGGCTCCACCCATTAGATGCCAGTAACATCCCCACCACCACTCTTCCTTGAGTTGTGACTATTGAAAATGTCTCCAGACATTGCCAAATATCATGTGAGAGGCAAAATAGCTCCCAGTTACAAACCACTGCTTTCGAGTGACTTCAGCACAGTTAAACATTACTCAACAACAATAACAACAAAAGAAATATATTACTGAGCAATTATCTGCCAGCATTGTCATTCTGTCCTGCAGGATATTACTGGATGAGAGTCAAGCTGTCAGAAAATGTAGCATTCATTTTTAGATGAACTTCCAAGGCCTGTCACCAACACTGTAGGCTGCAGGGTTATATGACAATTCCAAGGACACTTCTTTTATTATTTTGAAAAATATGGCCCACATATGCTCTCACCAGAGAACTTGTTTTCTAGAATCAATGAGAATTTGACACACACACTTATTGATTTAACTTTTAAAGACATTACTCTTTTCTTTAGTAAGCTCCTTTTTTGTGTATTTACTATAACAGTTGCTCATTTCAGAACATTTCTTGCTTTCATTGTTTTGCCCTCAATTGTCTATTATAAATTTGAGGGTAAGGTAATTCAAGAAAGAACCCGTGAAAATGGAATTATTTGGATTTAGTTTCTTAAAAACTTCATATCTGAAGCAAATTTATATGACCAGAATTTTATTTTATTCCTATTTCCCAGTGGAATTGTCTTTCTGATTTTCTTAAACTAAGATCCAATTCAGTTTCCATCCCCATGCTCATTCTGGTGATTTGTTGGGGAAAAGAAAATATTCAAGTGTGTGCCAGTTGGTATTGGAAACTTTTCTGGTTTTTAAAGATCAAACACTGATAACATGTCAATGGGATGATATGCAAGTGAGCACTGAAGGATCTCATCCTGATTTTTCTTGTTGGGTGATGTTAGGTACATCAGAACGACTTGGGTGACCTTGAACCTAATTAGCTACTTCACAGATATTTATCCAATATGATGGCTGAACTCTGTCTGGGCCAAGCTATCTCTGTCCTAGGCTTCCCTTTGTCATCCCTGCTAAACCATGAAGGCCACTATAGCTATGCACAATTGCCCAGGTTGATCATGCAAAGCAAACAGAATCTCTCAGGTTGACTTTATTCTACTTTGCTGATTAATGACTTTGACAAACATTGTACTTGTGATCTTGGCCTGAGCCTGCTCTCAGATAGCACTATTTGTACCCCAATTCTTTATTTGTAAAATAATATGCAAATTAGTACAACCTCTTCGGAAGACAATATGGCAATTTCTGAAAGAACTAGAAATTGACCTTCCGTATGACCCAGCAATCCCCCTATTGGGAATATACCTGGAAGAACTCAAATCATTCTACAAAAAAAGATATTTGCACACGCATGTTTGTTGCAGCTCTATTCACAATAGCAAAAAGATGGAACCAACCATGCTGACCTTCAACGCTGGACTGAATAAAAAAAAAATGTGGTACATGTACACAATCAAATATTATGCAGCCATAAAGAAGGACAAACATATGAATTTCACAGTAACTCGGATGAATTTAGAGTCTATCGTACTCAGTGATCTATCACAGAAACAAAGAACAGAGTACCATATGTTCTCACTCATTTGCGGACCTTGAACAATTATCATAATACTATAAGAAAGGGATTGGCAGTAGTGGGAAACTGCCAGGGGAAGGGAGTGGGATTGGCAGTTGAGGGAAACTGTCAGGGGAGGGAGGGGCACACCTCATCAACAAGGGTACCTGTATAATGAACATTTGTATACCTAACCCTGAATTGTACCCCACGTCTTTAAAAAAAAAGCTCAGGTTTCTAATATATGTAATATAAATATATGTGTGTGTGGGGGTGTGTGTGTGTGGGGGAGAGAGAGAGAGAGAGAGAGAGAGAGAGAGAGAGAGAGAGAGAGAATTGAGTATGGGACAAAGCAAGCAGACCAAGTGCTGTGGATATAGAACCAGATGAAGCCCTTCTAAGAGCTCCTTCCCCATGGAGCAGCTCTGTTTTCCATGGTGAGAAAGAAAAGAAATCCCATCTTGCCAAGGAAGAAGAAGCCACTGATTGTTGGGTTGGGGGAGGCAGGAGAGAAGACTTGGCAAGGGAAGCACACATTTATGCTGGGTGCAAGGAGATGGGAGAAAGAGTCCAGGGGAAGCACAGAAGCACAAAGATCCCAAGTGCTAGTCCTACTGTCATCAACGAATTGACAAAAATTGTTTTGAAATGTTTAGCTGACAAGGACTTTGTGAATTTCCTCATTCTTCTTTTTGGGGATCCATCCAAAAGCCAAGAAGACTCAACCTGAGTTTAACAATTGGTTAACACATAATGAAGTAACAAATTCCTCCTCACCAGTCCCCTTCCTCTTACCTATGTAAGTCACGTCCACATAAAGTGGGTCCGAGGAACTGCTTCCCATCTGGTTAGTGGCACTTACTGTGATGATATACATTTTCCATATGGAGGTGTGCTTCTTGCTAAAGTAGCAGGAGTGGGGGCCACCGGTTTTGTAGTCTGGACATTCATGGGTGAGTGTCTCTCTGCAATGAGTAATGTATTAGGAATGAATAAGAAAGTAATAAAGAGAGTCTAGTTTTTTTCTTCATAAATCAATGCCATTGGCTTCAGGGATCGGGTATTTCAAGTGCCAAAGTCAGAGCTGACAGATGTCTTCCAGGCTTCCCTGTTCTGCGCATGTTAGCTGGAGCAAGAGAGAGAAGAGCATGCTGGGAAGGTTATTTTAGGGCTTCAAGTGCTCTGTTTCTCATCAACTCTTCCCTTCTACAAGTGTTTTTGTGGGCTTTGGGATATAAATCAGAGCACTGTCTTTGGGTTACCTCAAATACTGGGATTTCCACCTGTTTCATGTGTACACTGGGGCCAAGTACGATGAAGCAGTTGTTGCAGATATGTGTTGAAATACATTTCATTAAAAAAAAAAAAAAAGGGCCGTTTCCTCACTAGACTCTGATGTGGGCATGTGCTCTATGAGCTATAGCTATCACCATGTTTCCCCCTCCCCTCCCTCTCTCTCTCCAATTTACTTTCTAAATAAACCATATTTTTTAAAAAAAGAATTCAAGAGGACAAAAAGTGATGTCAGTACATTTCAGACTGCATCAAGTCTTTGAAAGGAGAGACGTGACTGAAAGGAGAGATTTTGTGCCCCAGTGGCTCATTAGGCTGTCCACATTCAGATTTAGCAGCCTCAGCTCAAGACACTCTGCACAGGTATGGAGGCTTATTCAATTTTGGTTGTATCTGAGTTCCTGAGCTCTGTTTACATGATGCCCCTTTGGATCCCAGCTGGGATGACAGCTTTGTGTACAACAAAGTGCAGTTATTGGAAAGTGAGCCAGCTGTCTCTGCCAGCAACTAAATATTTTCTTTTTTGGGGGAAAGATACAGCTCTCCTGGGGTTTCCAGAATGATCTCATTGTGAGTGCCACAAAATGCTTGCACAGAGATGAGCTTGTTTAGTCCTCACTGCAATCTTAGGCCCAAATATGATCGTGGGTCCTGGTCAGCAATGTGCTAAGGAAAAATCCTCACCTTCCTTTCCTTACAAGGCTCTTTAATTTCTTGAATATGAAACAAGTTTGAAAACTTGATGTACCATGTTTGTCAAGGATTACATGGTGGTATTTCATATAATCCTCTTATGTTTCAAAAGTAACATGTGTACTAAATAAATAAATAAATAAATAAATGAAACAAGGTGAACTTCTAAGATTAATTAGTACTTAGGAAACATTTATATGAGGCCTTGGGAGAAACCTAAGCTGTGACAGGTAATTTGAAACATTATTAACATTGTATTGCTGTATGACTTATGAAGAGTGGCAGAATTCTTAAAGGATACTTGGTAGAGAATGTTAGACTCCCATTTCCCCCAGTGGTATGAGCCTTCTTGGTGCAAATCCAGGAAGTTTTGTAACTCAGAACAAGTGTTCCTTTGGCCTGGATAGTGGGAACACTCATGTGGGATTTGACAGGAGAGAAGAGAACTTTTTACCCTTCCTTGTGGTAAATCAGTGTGTAATTCGTAGGAAGTCCTCCATCTGTCCCTGGCTTCCACCAGCAGGTGAATGTTTCCTTCTCAGGAGAACGACATTTAGAGATCTCAGGTTTTCCAGGAGGTGATTGTCCTAGAAAAAGCCAGAAGCCGTTGGAATCAATATTGAGGTCCATTCAACAATTCAACCCTTCTGGTGACAGAAGCAGACTGACAAGACCCAGACCAGTGATGAAGTCTCAGGGTGAGTAGGCCTAAGTTGGTGTGTTCGAAAATACTAAACACCAATAACAAGCAACTTGGCTCTGTGGGCCATCTTGATGTTGTCAAGGCTTTTACAGAACTTTTCAGTGAGGTGGTATGTGTGTGTGTGTGTGTGTGTGTGTGTGTGTGCACTTTGAGATGTGGATATCAACAGACTATGTGATAACTGGGTGTGGTTGTTCATGCTTACAATCCCAGCACTTTGGGAAGACAAGGTGGGAGGATCACTTGAGGCCAGGGGTCTAAGATGAGCCTGAGTAATATTTTTGTAGAGACTTTGTCTCTACAAAAAATAAAAACAGCCTATGTGAGGACCAGTGACTAATTGCAAAATTTTACACACACACATACACACACACACACACACACACACACGTGCACGCAGACACAGTAAGATGGATACCTGCAGATTGAAGGATATGTGGCCCTTCTGTTATCCCATGGGTTCTATAAAGCTGATATCCTTCCACAGTCTAAGGGGACCATACAAAGACTCCTCCAGCTACAAGCAACCTGTGAACACTTTGCCAAAACATTGCTCCCCAGCACTTCTTCGGTCTGCTCACCAATCTCATTCTTTCTATCACCCCCACACAGTTAACTCAACCTGTTCCTGATCTTTTGTTCATTCGCCGCCTCACTGAAGCTCCCTTTCTCTGGGCATCCATCCCATCCTCTCTCTCCTATCTTCTCCTTTTCCTTGATTCCATTCCGTTTGGACCTTATGATCCAGTCTCACAATCTATCTCCCCATCCTCTCTATCCCCATTTCTGAATCTTGGTTTTTATTCCTGTTTTCTATTTCACTCTCTTTCCTTGGATCTTTTGGACAAAGGGCTTCCTAGTAATTTTACAGGTCTTTTTGAGGTAGGAGGCTTGATGAGAGGTAGGAGAGTGGCTAGCTCCTCTCCTGGTTGTGAGCGACCATTATTATCTACAACCTGTATCCAGTCCTAGGCTGGAAGCTGGAAGTTCTGAATGAGGTGGTGTGGAAATACAATGTCAGGAGGACAGAATGAGTACTTGGCAAGCTGGTCCTCATTTCTCTTGCTTGATTGTCAGGTCTAAAGAGGGACAGAGTAGCTCTGGAAGTTCATCCTGATGCTGCTGGGTTGGAGAGGCCACCCATGCTCACCTATATGACTCCACATGGTCCTCTTTTATGCCTAACTGGATGACCTAGCATTTAGTTCAGGAAGTTAGGAACAGAGAAGAGAGACTTCAGATGTGAATCTCAGCAACTCAGGGGGTTCTCTCTCTTTTCTCCCACATTCCTACCCCTATTCCTCAAGCAGGCTCTGAGCACCAGACCAGAAAAAGCAACTTAGAGGTCAGCTGCAATGGCTCAAGCCTGTAATCCCAGCACTTTGGGAGGCCGAGGCTAGAGGATTGCCTAAGCTCAGGGGTTTGAGACCAGCCTGGGCAACTTGGTAAGACCTCACCTGAACAATAAATCAAAAAATGAGCTGGGCATGGCAGTTCATGCTTATAGTTCCAGCTACTTGGAAAGCCGAGGCAGCAAGATTGCCTGAGCCCAGCAGGTCGAGGTTGTGGTGGCTATGAGCAGCATGCCACTGCACTCCAACCTGGGCGACAGAGCGGGACTCCTACTCAAAAAAAAAAAAAAAGAAAAAGAAAAAAAAGAAAAGAGAAAGAAAAGGAAAAGCAACATAGGAGGAGACCTCAGTGAGGGGAAATGGGTAGGAAGGGGGCTCTCTAGGCCAAGCCAGCCAGAAAGAGTGTCATGGAATGGCAATATGCACTCTGGGAAACCAGGCTGGTAGTGGAGCTGGGTTGCCCTCCCCTCCAGCTAACAGGCCCTGCTGAAAAGCATCCATGCCAGCCTGCCAATATTTGTAACATTGGTCATCCTCTAGGGACAATTTCTTCAGGATAATGTGTTGTTGAGAGTCAAGGCAAAAATGAAAGTGGTGGTGGTGCAGGGTGTGTGTAAAGTAGAAAAGAAAGTTGATTAAAAAAAATTCAAGCCAAGCACAGTAGCTCATGCCTGTAATCCCAGTGCTTTGGGAGGTGGAGGCAGGAGGATGGCTGTAGCCTGAGAATTTGAGGCTGCAGTGAGGTATGATTGTGCCACTACATTCCAGCCTGGGCGAAAGAGCAAGGCCCGACTCTAAAATAAACAAACAAACAATTCCAAGCCTATGGTTCAATAATGAGCACACTCAGAAACCAGTTAGAACATCATTGATTATTTGAGTATTTAAGGTCTCCCTTGTGGATTATTCTGACCTCTGCTTTCCATTTTCCTTCGTTCTGGAAACTTATCTCTCATATTTTATTGGTTATTAATTGTACTTTTAGGAAACTCTAGAGAGGAGGGTAGGTTTGTAAAACTACAATTAGTCAAATATTCTCTTCATCTGCTTTAGAGGAGACAATTGAAATTGATGAACTGTCTCAGTCTCAATGCCTAGAAACACAGAGACAACCATACAGGTACTTCACATACAAGTACATAGATGCATTCCCACACAGAGCCCACATCAGAAGTAACACACACACACACACACACACACACACACACTCACACATACACACATGTACAGAGAGAGAGAGAGAGAGAGAGAAATACACATAGATGCATACTCACGGAAGTACACACTAGTACACATAAAGGCACACATGGAAAAATACACAAATCTGGAAATATACAGAGGTACACACACACAGATACCGGGGTGCCAAAAAATGTAAGAAATGTTATCTATGTATTACTTTTAGTTTGCCATAATCAAAAGTGTCTGGATGCTGATGGTAGCCACTTTGAGCACCTCTTGTAATTGCAGAAGTCCAATGTGATTTGTATTCATCTTTTGTCATCAGTATATATTGAGTATTATAATTTTAATACAGTTTTTTCCATTCTTAGAATGTGTATACTTTTTAATAGGGCCCTTTGTTTATATCCACACACAGAAGTATACACACAGAGGGAGCTAAACAATGGGTACATGGACGTACAAAGTGGAATAATAGACATCAGTGTCTACGAAAGGTGGGAGGGTAGAAGGATGAAAGGGAGGGTGAAGACTGAAAAATTATCTATTAGGTGGGGCGCGGTGACTCAAGCCTGTAATACCAGCACTTTGGGAGGCCGAGGTGAGAGGATTGCCTGAGCTCAGGGGTTCAAGACCAGCCTGGTGGAGACCAGCCTGGGCAACTTGATGACACCTTGTCTCTATAATAGATAAAAAAAAAATAAGCTGAGTGTGGGAGCACTTGCCTGTAGTTCCAGCTACTTGTCAGCCTGGGTGACAGCGTGAGAAAAGAAAAATTACCTATTGGGTGCAATGTTCACTATTTTGGGTGCAATGTTCACTATTTTTAGCATATGATGGGTATGCTAAATGCCCAGCTGTTGGCCGGGCTTGGTGGCTCAACCTGCAATCCCAGCACTTTGGGAGGCAGAGGTGAGTGGATTGCCTGAGCCCGCGGGTTTGAGACCAACTCGGGCAACTTGGTGGGACCTCATCTCTACAATAAATCAAAAATTAGCTGGGCGTGGTAGCATGCACCTGTAGTTCTGGCTACTTGGAGGACTGAGGTGGAAGGATCGCCGGAGCACAGCAGATCAATCCTGGGGTGGCTGTGAACATGCCACTAAACTCTAGTCTGGGCGACTGAGTGAGACTCCAACTCAAAAAATAAAAAATAAATAAGTGAAAGCCTAGCTGTCACTACTATGTAATATCTGCCTTAAGAAATCTGCACTTGTACCTCCTCAATACATAAAAATTGAAATCAAAAATAAGTATACACATACAGGTATACACAGACAAGTATTTGTAATCAGGCAACATAGAAAAGTTAATGTACACATAGAAGTCTGCATACCCAGGCAGCCAAACAGAAATGCACATTCACAGGCATCCACGCTGTCATTTAGGTGTGGACTTCCATTTCTCCCATTAGCACTAGATGATACAGTTGGCTGTACCTGTTTCCTACCATGTAACAGCAAACTCTCACATCCTGTTATAGTTTTTCAAAGATTTTTCACATACATTATTTCATCTAAGGAGAAGGAAACACCTCTATCCTCACTTTGAAAATTTGGAAGCCCAAAGAGATTAGGTAATTGGCTCAAGGTCACACAGTTACTACCAGCCAGAGCCTGGACTGGAACTCAGGTCCTGTCATCCTCACAGCTATTTCATTACACTCCTGAAATGAGGATGGAAGGCAGAGAGCATAGTGAAAAGATTTTGTATTCACTGCATTAATTCTGATGTGAAAATATTGCAAATAATTTAATAGCAGCACAGGACATGAACATTTTCATTTGTCATAACAGCATTGCAAGAAGACTGCGATGAACTCTCCACCCTCTTGACAAACACCCCAGACAATGAAAGAGAGCAGGACAGTCTCTTACTTACTTACCATTCAGGAGGCTGGTGTTGATAAAAAGTAGCAGAGTGAAAATTGTTGCGGATGCCACATTTTCCTTCATGTTGGCTGCCTTCTCTTACCTCAGGTAACTTATCAGAGGTTCACTGGAAGAGAAGGCACCCGGCAACTTTTGTGAAATGACAATCTGGTCAGGCACATGCACCACTTTATTTTGACTGTTTGCAACTGATTCTTGCTCCTTGCTTAAAGTGAATGACAAAACAGGAGGAAAGGAATGTAGGAAAATGTAACAGGGTCTGATGGCTTGGCTCAGAAACATAAATTCATACATGCTGGGAAAAATTCCACCACCAGAGGTCCTCAGATAACTATGTAGAGAGTTCAAGGGGAGCTGTGGCCGTGAATTCCTTTGCACACACCCCAAAGGAAAATTGTTCTCTTTCCACCCCGTAGTTGCCTAACAATATATCACCCATTTCTGTGACGTAAATTGTATGCCCTACAAGAGGCCCATTCCAGGAGGGCTCTGGCTCTGATCCCTCAGCTAAAAATAATCCAGGTTGAAAAGTCAGTACCCTCAGCAAGACTGTCACCACGTGAGGGAATCTTACTCTGAAGGTTCAGACTGAGAAGGTTCTGGAGGAGTCTTCTGGACTACGGGAATGACCGCGAGGCGAACCACACAGTGAACTCTAGTGAACGTCCATGTGGTTTCTTTCTCCCTGCTGCAAAGTCCCATAAACGGGAGATAATAAACTCCTGTAATAATTTAAATCCCTTGGGCTCAGAGTATTAAGTAAATTTTGAACCTGCAGGGGTTGAGCATTTTATTATTATTATTACCCTTGGAACAACTTTCAAAGCCTCTAAATGTCCTTCTAAGAAAAAAGGGTTTTTGAAGACATTTGAAAAAAAAAAAAAGGCTTATTCGTCTTGTTGGACTTCAGACAACTCTCAGAAAACAATAGATTTGATGAATTAAGTGTAAATTCTTGGAAACACACTGCTTAAATTTCCCTTTAAATTTTTATTTTTATTTTTAAATCAAGGGAAGGACATTCAGGGTCAAAGCTGCCCATCTTGGGACATTTGAAATGTGTGAGTATTATTTGATGAGTCCCTGAAAGACCAGCCTTTGCTCATTCTTCTGCCCAGAGGGTATTTCTCTATTTGCCAGACAGACACCCCCAAATGGACAACTTCTTGAAGGCTTTCTCTATCTGCTACCACTCCCAGTGAGGTGTACTCAGAAACAGAAATCTTAGCAACAAGAGGTTTGGGTTCAAAGGCACCATCCAAGGAGCTCCCTCATATTGAAACTTTAGCTTCAATAATGGATCCTGATCTAGGAATGGATCCTGTGAGGTAGCCAGAATATTGTTCTTTGGGAGACCTTCTACTCAACTCTTGCAGAATTTCTTCCAAATGCCCTCTGGGGTTGCACATTCTAAACCACCTGCCCCATCTCATGCCCCAGGTTCACCTCATTTAAACCAAGTGGTTAAAGGCTTCCAATGAGTTTAGAGTAATGCCTATTATTTCTGGAGCACCTCCTATGGGCCAACCACTGGGCTAAGAATTATTTACTTGTTTATTTATTTATTGAATCAGAGTCATTCTGTTGTCCAGGCAGGAGTCCAGTGGCATTCTCATGGTCACCACAGCCTTGATCTGCTGGGCTCAGGCGATCTTTCCACTTGAGCCTTCCAAGTAACTGGAACTATAGGTGCATGCCACCATGCCTGGTTAATTTTTTGATTTTTATCGGAGAGATGAGGTCTTGTGAAGTTGCCCAGGCTGGTCTTGAACCCCTGGTCTCAGGCAATCCTCTCACCTTGGCCTCCCAAACTGCTGGGATTACAGGCTTGAGCCACTGCAACTGGCCAGGGCTAAGTACTTTAATTATTTATATTTCATTTCATTCTCACAATAGCCCCATGAGTAGGTCCAGGTTTTAACAGATGAGGAAACTGATGAACAGAGAGGTTTAAATAAATTTTCAGTCACATGCCCATGGGACAAACACATCTGGCAAGTCTGAGAGCCTCTGATAAGTCATCTTGATTTGTAGAAGGTCTGTGATGGTGCGATTATTCTCCCTTTGCAGGATAAACGATGGCGACTAAAGCAAATGATTCAAGGTGAGAGACATTTTGGGCAGGCATGGTGTTCTAAGTAGGGGCAGGACAGTCAGAGTTGAGAAAAGCCATCTCAGCTACTGCCCTACTTATGCCTGAGGACCTCAAACACTGCTGATCTCACTAGTCCAGCTTCCCTAGGTTCATACAGCATTGGAAGTGTTCTTTATCTTGGCGGTCTGGTGACCTCAGCCTGGCTTGAAGATGGGATTCCACCCACAGACTGGAGATTTTCTGAAATGTTCCTTTACTGAGACTTTCCTTCTCTTTTGGGAATTGCACCAACATACTGGAGATCAACATGCTGTAAATCACACCTTTCTGATGAGGTCAGACGCTATCCAGAAAGCTTTGCCAAAGCAGTGCACTATGTGTTTTGCTAAAGAAACTCAGAGACAGGAAGCAGGGAGCGTCAGGCAGGTGTAAATAATGTCATTTACTTATACTCTCTCGTGTGCTGGTGCAGGATCAAAGAACCCCTCCTAGATAAAGTTTTTCTACAAAAATGCTTTCACGAAACATTTTATGGACTAAAAAGAAACAACTTCCTTTTGAATTCTCAGACTCTCCCATCTTTATGCTCCTTTACGCTTCCCTATTTGGATATGCCTTCCCACCATGCAACCTTGCACTCTAGCATGAACTCCAAGAGAAAGCCCCTCTTCTCCCTCATGTGGCTTAGCATTGACATAGATCCTGTTTAGACCCTCTCTTTTCCAAAGCTGTCCTTCATTACCCTCTTCCATTAAGCTAAGTCTCTTCCACAGAGACCAATAATTGAGAAAAAAATATAGCAATTAATTATGCCCTAGTAGCTTGTGCTTTTGAGAACCAGAGTCATTCTTTCTAGATGAAAAAGCAGGGCCATAGTTGCATGACCTGGACCAATCCTACTATCCACATTAGGGAGGGCATGCCATAAGAGAGGAGGTGTGTGGTCTCCTCAGAGTTAAAACCAAACCAAACCAAACAGATCTGTATCTCCCAATACACCACTTCTTCCTGTCAATCCCTCATCCTTGACAACCCCACTGATAGACTTCATCCCTATGTTCTGGTCCACCGAGTCCCTGAGCCAATCCTGAATACCACCAATCTCCGCTCTTCTGTTTTGTGTGACTCGCTCCCAAGACTGGTATCGGGTGACCCTTCTTACCTGGCCCTGTTTTATCCACTACTGTTGTCCCAACCTTCTACTCAGGTTTTTGACTCAGTTCCCCTGACTCCAGAAATGGTCCTGCTATGCTAGGCAGGAATTCTGAGGACTGTTTTAGTTCTTGCAAGCCCAGTTCCCCAATGAAAAATGAGGGCCTAATCCAAGATTTGGATTTCTTTAGACTGTCACACATATGTTACACACGAATGATAAGTACAGTCATACACCACATACAAGTAAGTACTTTTCTATCAACAACAGACCACATATATGATGGTGGTACTATAAAATTATAATACTGCATGTTGACTGTACCTTTTCTATGTTTAGATACACAAGTACTTACCATCGTGTCCAGTTGCCTATAGCATTTAGTACAGTAACATGCTGTGTAGGTTTATAGCCCAAGAGCAGTAGGCTACACCATATAGCCTGTGTAACAGGCTATACAGTCTAGGTTTGTGTAAGTTTGCTCTATTATGTTCACACGATGATGAAATCGCCTAATGACACATTTCTCAGAACTTATTCCCATCATTAAGAAATACATGGGCCAGGTGTGGTGGCTCAGCCTATAATCCCAGCACTTTGGGAGGCCGAGGTGAGAGGACTGCCTGAGCCCGCAGGTTCGAGACCAGCCTGGGCAACATGGTGAGACCTCGTCTCTATGATAAATCACAAAAATCAGCCGGACAAGGTGACATGCATCTGTAGTTCAGGTTACTTGGAAGGCTGAGGCGGAAGGATCACTGGAGCCCAACAGGTCGACTCTGGGGTGGCCGTGAGAGTGCCACTGCACTCCAGCCTGAGCGACAGAGTGGGACTCCAACTCAATAGATAGATAGATAGATAGATAGATAGATAGTTGGATAGATAGATACATGACTGTATCTGCTCAATAAATTATCACAAAGTGAATATTTCCATGTTACCACACAAGTGAAGAAGTTAACACAAATAGGACCTCAGAAATCCAACTTGTGCTTCCTCCCATCTCCACCTATTCCCTCCCTATAGAAACCATTCTTTTGAATTCTACCACTACAGATTTGCTTTGCCTATATTATACAACATGCATTTTGTGTGTGTGTGTGTGTGCCTGACTTCTTTCATTTCACATGGCCATATAATTCATTCTTGTTGATACCTGCAGTTTTACATATTCATTTCCATTTCATCTCATTCATTTTCATTCATATTATAGCAAATGAAATATCATAATTTATTTATTCATTCTACTGTTGGAGGACATTTGAGTTGTTTCCAGTTTCTGGTAAACGTTGGGTTTTGCTAAGCCTAGTCAAGAATTCCATGGTAGAGAACCTCCCCAACTTCAGTTCTCCACTCTAAATGGTTAGTAGGCTGCCTGCCATATTTCCTATTAGCCCAAATTAAATTTCAAGTGACTTTTTTGTCCTAAAAATTTCTCACAAAAAATTTTGTGTACATTCATCCATTACTTTCAGTGTTAGGCAATGTGCTAGGTGCTTCCTTTGGGAGTCTCCTGCCCCTGGGTTTCCTTACCTGTCCTGCTCCATCCTGGTTAGATGGCTTGAGGCTAAAAATAAAATAACAGGGAGCAAACCCCACGTGTATCATTGATTTTTAGGAACCTGGCTTTAAAAAAAAAACAACAACAGAATGCCAAAATTTAATTTAGAAAACAAGAGGCATAATGTGCTCAGGGTGGGAAGAGGAACAGTAGGGATTAGCTATTAATTACATACCAGGCTAAAGATTAAGACTGTTATACAAGCTCTGCCCAAAGTCAACGGTCAATGACTGTGGAATGAAAAAGTGAATTAATGAAGCTTTAAAGGTGAAGAAAAACAGACGACAAAACTCTGCA